ATATATATATATATATATATATGCATGAACGGTTCAGATAAAAAATGAACGAGTCTGATCTATTATTTTGCTTTTTATAAACTAGCGAAGAAAAAAGGGACGTGACAAAGGCTGCTACTCCCAAATTTTTTATTTTTATCCTTTGCATTACATAAGTATACATAGATTATGCATTTGTTATCCTCAACATTTATGTTAACTTTATATAATATATACTTTTTTCAACCTTGATTCACTTTTAAGTATATAAAATCCTCGCTTCATTCTTATTTATATACATATACACACATATTAATCGAAATTAACATCTTTTATATGTTGACAATTGTAAGTTTGACATGATGAAAAATTATCAAAATATGAATTATCCAAACCATGAAATGCACATGCTCTCTCCAGTTCTTATACAAAGCACACACAACCGCCTTATCAAAATCAATGAGAGGTGGATAAATCATTAATTTCATCCAAAAATGAAAAAAAAATCAAATATATCCGTACTTAATACAATGAGTTGCACCTCTGTTCCTATATAACTTGCTGAAAACAAGGGTATATTTGAACAAAAATACACTTTTGACACCAGTTTTTTATTTAGATATTTTGATTATTTATAACTTATATTTATAACATCTTTCTTAATTCTTTTTTTTTCTGTCTCCTATTTGATTATTGTTGAAAAAATATCAATAGGATTAATTTAAGAAAAAATTAATAAACATGTGAATTAGGTCTTATATATAGGATTAACATTAACTATCCAATTAAGTTTTATATTAAGTACCGAATGAGTATATTGTAATTAATTAATCTTCAATTAATTGTGATGTATATACAGGAAACGTGAAGGTTAGTATGGTGAGTGGGGAAGAATGCCATGAGGATTTGGGAGCATGCGATGCGGATTGCTTTGCGAGGTGCAAAGCGGCTCACCCAAATGGACAGGGATCGTGCGTGGGCCCACAGATCTGTAGGTGTTTGTTTGATGGATGCAGGACTTGCCATGAGAGCCTGGGACTCGGTTCTTGCGACGTGAATCAGTGCAAATCTGATTGTGCCGCCAAACACCCTAACCGCAAAGCCGTTGGTTATTGTTTTTCCGTTGGCGCTCCCGGTGACAATAGCTGTTTGTGTGACTATGATTGCTGGTAATTAATTAATATTATATTAATTGATTAAATTAATTAATTAGAATTTAGCCTGCTAATTGGCTTCTGGGTTGTAATTAATTGTAATAAAGAACTGCGGTTAACATGAAATGCGTGCCTCTCAGTTACTACGTTTGCATTAACACTTCCTCCCTTCTCAAATACTACCTCCGTTCCTTAATATAAGACCTTGTTTGACTTTTATTTTGGTCCTAAATATAAAACCCCAATCTATTTAATTTATCTCTCATATATATATATTTTTCAACATAGTTCTTCTAACAATAATAGTTCTAGCTAATACACTTGATTAGTGAGGATATTTTATAAAAGATAATACATATTTGTTACAAATAACTAATTTAACTTCTTTCCTTAATCTTCTCAAATTAGTCAACTAGTTATTATAAATAGGATCAGAGGTAGTACTACAAGTCTATTAATATTTAGGATGTTTAGTTGATGAAGAAAAATCTTAAAATTCATTAACTTTTTCTAAAAATTTAGTAACTTATAATATATATAATAAAGAAATTACTTCATCCAATTCTATGTATAAGTAGCTGAATTATATAGATCAAAAAATTGGTTTACGATAATAAATGTATTTTTTTTCCAAATACTGTACGCCTTTGTTTATGTAGAGAGCGAGAGAATATACGAGAGAAACATGTAATTAATACGGGTGTTATTTTAATTAAGAATCAGAAATTTTTATAGTTTTAACAAAATTAAATGTCTCCCTCGTATATTGTAGGAAGAACCAATGCATATGTGACGCTCATAAATAATATTGTCGATCCCTTCTAAAAAATTATATATATAATTGATTCATACTGTGTGAAGTTAGGCATTCACAGAAAATAAGATTAGATTATATAATTATTTAATTTTACTTAACATACCAAATTCTTATTTAATATACTAATTGATAATCCTCATCGGCTTGGGAAAATGATTTGTGTCCCATTGCTCATCAGATCCCAATACTGTGAAATGTACATAGAATATTAATTGATTTACATAACCAAGCCTTGTATACATGGTGTATTTGAGCTGTGAATAAGTAATTTTATGTTATAAGAGATAAATATATGAAAAGAATAGAGTATTTTATTTCATACTTACTTGGAATTACTCAAATAAGCATTTATAAACATGTTTTACGTAAAATAATATGAAATTTTTCTCATATACTTATCTTATATTCTATAAATTTAAAGAGCTGCTTATTAGAACTAAATACGAAGATCATATATAAAGCACGTTCATAAACTTATTTAGTCTTGTTCAAAATCATATTCTGAGATATCAACAAGAACGTGATGAGAATATACCTGATGTGAAGATGTGAGAAGCCAGAAGCAGCAAGCAGGAAGAGGAAAGAAATATACGAGGCCATCATTGCTCTGTGCTGATTGTTTTTCTGGGGACACGTGGGACGAGTAGTGACTAATATAGAAGAAATGCCATTCATAGTTTGAATCCTGTCATAAATGCTATAAATAAGGTTTTACCTTTGTTGGCTTTAATGAATCTAAGAGGCAATTAATGCATCTGGAATTTTTTTTTAAGAGACCAGTCCTTTATACTACTCTTGGTCCTTTTTATGAGATTCAATTAATTAATCAAATTATGTGATTTAAAAAATTTATTAATATTAATTAAAATAATAAATATGTAAGAAATATACTTTTTTTAAAAAATATACTCTTATTTATGTTGAGAAAAAATAAATATATCCATATCTATAATAAGGTAGGTGAAGGAGAGAAATAGGGAAAAAATGAAAGAGAATTATAAATGACAAAAAGATAATGCAATTAGATGGGCAAAACTCCAAATTTTCTTAACAACCCCAAATTGAGTCTTATAGGAAAAACTAAACTAATTCAAAAATTTGAATTTTATGAAGAGAACATGAAGGAGTACCATTATTCTGGTTCCTATTACAAATTATTTTTTGAGAAGAAATTTTTATTCTTAAATACAAGTTACTTAAAAGGTTATTAACGATTTTTTTAATTTTATCTCTGTTGAATATAATAAATGTAGATAAAAAAAGAAAAGATGACAGTGAAAACATATCGCATATTTTTTCAATAGGGCAAACTTAGAAAAAATTATCAATTTAAGCTTTATTTAATGTCCTAACTATCATTCTTTCTTCTGTGAGAATTAGTCTAAAGGGACTTGTAATAACTGCAGGACAAGTAGAAGAAATCTTTTAAAAATAAAAAGTGGTCGAAATTATAATATGTAAAGTCAAAAGAAACCCGAAGGGTTTTCTATTTTTACTCTCCCAATTACGAGGTTGCCCAAATTACAAAGGTGAAGGGTTCTCATATCCTCCAGTCAACAAAGGTATGATCGGATATTTGGAGTATTTTTTAACAAATAAAGCAATTTTACAAATTGGGAGTGTATACTTGGGAAAATGACATAAAAAAATAGTTAAAAATTGTAATATTCCTATTCAGGCTTCTAAAACTTCAAAATTCAGAAAAGGAAGTAATGTCTGATTGAGTATTTTGCAAATATATTTAAATTAAGCGATTATAATCTTATTATTTTGATTGTTACTCAATGTCGAAGAAAGGAGGGACTGGCAGAAGCTATGACTCCCAAATTTTCAATTTTTTCTTTATATATTACATAGGCGTGTTTCTCTCTCTCTCTCTCTCTATATATATATATAAATATCTATATCTATGTACATATATATTGTAAGTTTTTTTGCCATAACAAGTTATCCTAACGCCTTTTTATATGTTGACAGTTGTGAGAAGTTTGACATAATGAAATATTTTCGAAATGTGACTCATCCAAAATTTAATTATTTAATTTTAAGAAGACTTTTCAATTTTAAAATAAATTTAATGAGTTAACTACTCTTTCTTAGTATCGCTGAAATAATTGAAAATGACTTATAATGAGTAGCAAAGGAAATATTGGACATATATATTTATATTTGATATATTTCCTCAGCAATTATATATGCAAAGACAACCCCTATAAGTTGGCCCTAAGTCTTGGCAAAATTCTTTGCCTTCTCGGAACTTTTGAGCACACCAAGTATTACAACATTGGTCATTACATTGTTCACTGCAAATTCCTATCCCCGTATTGCATGTTTTTCCTTTTGTTGGCTTCTCCATCGGAGGCGATGGCATCGGAATTGTTTGACTTGCCGATCGGAATTGACGTCCGCCCAACTTTAGGGCAGCGAAATCCACTTGCTCAGCTCCTAAAATTGTGACATGTAGTATAATGAAAGTTATATATACAATACTCCTTCCTTATATGTGTATTGGTTTTTTTTTCCCCTCCTTAGATATCTCCTTTGGTTATTAATTATAAATTTGGGGAAATAAAGTAATTTACTATCTCAAATTTATGACAAAAGAAAATATCCCAACTAGTCCTTACATTTTTAGAATGAAAAGTAGTATTAATTTATATAATCAAACCTTACACGGCATATCAAACAAATTAAAAACAATAAACTACGTTCACAAATTCTTTAGTGTTGGTCAAACGTAACATACATTCTATCAAAATAATAATAATAACAACATCATTTATTTGTCTAAATTTCAAAAAAAATTTGTTTTTCAAACACAAAGTATTGCCGCGCGCCTTCTACTCTATAAATATCCGTTAATTCGACCCAATCGTTCACTTTCTGTTTCATTTGCGAGTTGAGGTAACCAAGTTAGACAATATACAGCCCTGTTTCATTCTTTCTTGCGTCTTGGAAAAATCATTTTCTTCTCCTCTAAATTTCTTGTTCTCTTGACCCCACATTCATGGCTTCTTGGTATTTTGCAGATTCTTGAAGAATTTCTTTTAATGGCGACGTGGAACAACGATAACGTAGAAATTCGAGAAGTTTGGAAATCAAACTTTGCTCAAGAGATAGAGAATATGAGGCTTATAATACAAACACACCGTTTCATGTCCCTGGATACTGAGTTTCCAGAGAACATCCATGGTGATAGTTCAACATACCAGACTATGAGAGCCAATGTGAGTTCTTTGAAGATCATTCAGCTTGGTCTCGCTTTTTCTGACTATTATGGGAACCTCCCATTGGATGGAATTTTCCCACATCGTGGCGTTGTTTGGCAGGTTAACTTTTCAGATTTTGATCCTTCAACAGATCCCCACAACCGAGATTCAATTGAAGTGCTGAGGATGAGTGGCATTAACTTTCAAAAAAATCGAGAAGAAGGAGTTTCAATCAGCGAGTTCAGAGCCCACTTCGTTCCATCTGGCATAATACAAAACAGGAGTCTCTGTTACATAGCGTTTCATGGCTCAAGTGACTACGCCTACTTGGTCAAAATGTTTAGTGTAGGAAAATAAGCCAGTCTACTCTTGGTGGATTGGACCCAAACCCATTAGGTTTGGGACTCTAGTACAAATAACAAAACATTTGGGTTGAGAACTGCAATTTACCCTTTTTTGTTTAAACTGAAACATGGAGGAACGGTTAACGTGGAGGGAACAGTTATATGGAGATAGTTTCTGCCAAATGGATAGATATGGGAAAAACTGCCGCAAGTCAAACATATAACTCTCCCTCTCAATTTGTTTTTCCTGACTTCTTTTTTTTCTTCTCCCTTCAATTGCTCTTCCCGTATGTGCATTTGCTGTGTAACCAAGATCCGAATTCATCACCAGACCTTTGCGTGGCTATCTGAAACTGTTATACATTCCAGGTACATCTAAATTCATCAGTGGTATCAGAGCATGGTTCGTTTTTCGTTGCTTTATCTATCTGCTGTGTTTTTCTGTCTGCTCTTGCGTATTTTTTTACTGCTCCAGAGTAACCATTAGTTCTGTGATTTGCTTCAATATACTATGCAAATCCTTTCATTTAATTTCAGTATGATTAATATCTCACTTATATTTGTAAGTAGAAATACTGGAATCTTTCTTTGCCTCCATGAAGTTTGTTTTACATGAAAATCATTTTTTGCCGTCTCCGTTGTTTATTTTTGGATCTACTTAAAATCAAGTTTTTAGGTTTCAAAAACTATCCCATTGTGTAGAGGATGAAAAAAACAAAGAAAATGATATAAAGTATGTGAAATTTAGACGTCAGATGGTGGAGTTATGGAAGAGAGAAGTTTCTGGGTTCAACGGGTCTGTCGGACCCGACCCATCACTCCAACTGGGTCAGGCTGACCTGGCTAGAGGAAGAAGAAGATGAACAGTGATCAAAACGGCATCGTTTTGATCACTGCCCCTAAAAAAAAGGGCCAATAAAAAAAAAGGTGGAGGGAACCGGTTGGGCCAAATTGGACCGAGCCCAACCGATCCAAACCCTTAAAAGAAAAAAGCATTTTTCTTTACCAAAAAAAAAAAGGGAAGAGGGCAGGAATTGGTTGGGCCAAAGTAGTATGGATCGAGCGCATATATATTATAAAAAAAACTGGTCCAACTAAAAAAAATTAAAATAAAAAAGAAAAAGAGGCAAAACTGCCAGGTGGCGTGTGCCGCCACATGGCATGCCCCCTTGACATGTGGACACCACCACCTGAGAGGTGGCGGCGAGTGGAGACCACTGGCACGGCGCTTGTCACTAGCGGCGGGCTGCATGGCAGCGTGTGGAGTTCATGTGCTGATAGCATAACTGGGATTCAAATTTTTTTTCATTTTCTCAGTATTTATTTTTCTTGGGATGCATGTAGACGCGTGGGAGCTCCCTTTGAAATGCGGTTTGTCTCTAAAAATCCCTAAAATCAAGATCTTCATTTTGATATATAATGTGCTAATTTTTGAGACAATTAAGGATTCATTTGTGTGTATTTCAATGCATTTTTTGGTATTTTTATACAGATAAAAATTCTAAAATATTCAAAATAATTTATATTATTTTGTTTTAGGTGAAAATGAAGCACGAGGCTTCTGGTAGCACTGAAAATATCAAACATGGTTCATTAGAATACTCATACATGAATAATGGAGTTTAAGAATATGAACCTGATGATGAGGATCCTGAGGAAGACCCTGAAGAGGTTCCTTAAGAAGACCCAGAGGAGTTAATGGATTCCAGACCTGAGTCAGAAACTTTATTCCCCATTGAGCCCCTTCGTGCTGAACCTTGGTCTTTAAAGATTCACTTGATCTTCTCGATGTAACCGAAGTTGAGGAAGGAGAAGAGGTGAATCAACTCTGTACCTCTACTTTAGCTATGAGTATAGCCAAAAGAGATGTGGTCAAACAGACAAACATAAAAGGTATTAATGGCGTGCTCGCCAGTTACATCCAATACATGATCGATAAGAAGAACACTGAATTCTATCTTAAAGTTATAACGGAATACATAAGAGCAATAAGGGTTAAAGGTGGATCTAAAGGCAAACCTATAAAGAAGTCTTACTGGATGTGGGCTATAGAATTAGTATCCTCCTTTATGACCAAAATGTGCAAACTTAGAAAATTGAGGAAAGCAATGCTTGATTGCCTTCATGTTCATATCAAATGATTTAATATTTGTATTTGCTTTATCAATGTTTGTTATGTTAAGTTTTTGGTTTCATGTATTGTAAACAGACTAAGTTTTTTTATTTCATTTAATGAAATTACTTAAATAATTATTTGAGAATATATATGTATGTTTTTTTATAAGTGGGAGCTTTTAGAAGATAAGACTTCTAAGAGTCACAATTTTTTTTTTCTGAAGTGCTTATATAGAATGCTTGATAGAACATAGTAATTATTGCCTGTATTTGTGTGATGGGAGGTACAAACGTATGCTCTTGATCATGAATCTTGTAGTGTCATAATTTTCTGATTGAGGATAATATAAGTACATGACATTGTATACTTCACTGTACTATATAACTGAAATGTTCTATGGTACGTCTCTTTTTTAGAGAGAATATAGAATAATATGGGATAAATTTGCTCTAGAACTGAAAATGGCAATCAAGAACATTATTGCTGAGCTTAATAAAGAGGAAAAGCTTAATGGGGACAACTAGGACATATGGCACCGAAAGGTCTAATACATCTTGGAGGAACAAGATGCTGTTGAATCTCTAACCACTACAATGGTCAAACCTGAAGCTGGGAATATAGCCCAACATAGGAGAGACTAAGAGGCTTATCAAGTTTGGAAGAAGAAAAACATCATAGCAAGAATCATGCTTCTGAGTGCAATGGTTGATGACATAATGTGTGAATTCGAGAGGCACAAAACTACACAAGCTATGTGGATAGTATTGAAGGATAAGTTTAGTGGTACTTCTACTATCAAACTTAGGAGGTTAATGATTAAGTTTGATACTTACAAACTTAAGCTAAACAATCCTATGAAGCAACATCTAAGAGAGATGGCCAACATGATCAGAGAACTTAAGGAAGCTGGACACGTTCTGTCTGATGAACAGCAGGTATAGGCTATTACCAGATTACTCCCTGCTAGCTGGGAGCACATAAAGGTTAATCTGACCTATAATGAAAATATCGTTGCTTTTAATGATGTAACTAAGCACTTGGAGCTAGAGGATAAATGTTTAGAGGTTATAAGACCTCTGGACAAGCTTATTACACTGAGGATACTGGCACTTCCCAATCAAGGCTCGATTCCAAGAAGGGCGAGAAGTTTCAAAAGAAAGAGAAGAAGGGTGGTCCTCAACCCAAAAAGGGAAAGAAACAATTCAAGAAGAAGGGAAAGAAAGGCGGGAAGAAGAAGCTGGACTTGAAGAAGGTTAAGCCTGCCAGAGAATGGGCCATTTCGCACGTGATTGTTCAAAACAGGCTGAGAGCGAAAAGGTATTAGTGAATTATGTGAATTCACATGTTTCATATGTTTCTAGTACTGTTTTTCTAACAAAAATCTATTTCTTCTTCTTGGATTATAGACTTAGGCTCTACAAACCATGTAACCAAGGATCAAGGATCCTTTATCGAGTACCATCGGTTGCTGTATCAAAGCAAGTGGCTTTACATTGGGAACAACACAAGGATCGAGGTTAAAGGTTTTGGCACTTGCAAATTTACTTTGCGTGGTGGGAAGACCTTGATACTCCATGATATACTTTACGCTCTCGACATTCGGCAGAACTTAGTTTCTATTTTATGCCTTTTAGAGTTTGGGTTTGATGTAAACTTTCATGGTAAAGTTGCGGACATTTTAAGTAACTTAGTCCTTTATAGTTCAGTTTTCTTGTTTAAAAAGTTCTTTGTTTTGGATATTGTTGGTGATTTTAATCGTAATAAATGCTTTGCTATTTCTTCGAGTAATGTTGACATAAACATCTGGCGTGCTAGACTAGGACATACTAATCAAAATAGAATGATTAAATTAGCTAAAGAATGGTTATTAGGTGCTATTCCAAATATGAAAATGTCCCTATATGAAAATTTTCTAGTTGGTAAGGCAACAAGAAAACTTGTCGGTAAGGGAACAAGAGCTAAAAATCCATTGCAATTAATCCATTCCGACATATGCGGTCCAATGAGTGAGAGGGTGAGACACGAAGCTTGGTATTTTATTACCTTTATTGACAATTTTTCACGATATGGTCATGTCTATTTGATCTCGCATAAGTCTGAAGCTCCTGAGTGCTTTAGACGATACATAAATGAGGTAGAAAATCAAATGGACAATAAAATTAAAGCATTACACACTAATCAAGGTTGTAAACATTTATCTAAACAGTTCAAACAGCTCTGTGAAGAGAAAGGGATAATTAGACAACTGACTATCCCTGGCACTCCACAACAAAATAGAGTTGCCGAAAGAAGAAATAGAACTCTTCTAGACATGGTTAGGTCTATGATAGCTCAAGCAAACCTATCAATTTCATATTGGGGTGATGCTTTGTTAACGGCAACCTTCATACTTAACCATGTGCCCTCAAAATCAGTCGCTTCTACACCCTATGAGTTATGGACGAAACACAAACCAGATCTAAACATCCTATGACCTTGGGGGTCAGCGTCATGTATCCATGACAGTTCCCACAAGTATGGGAAATTGGGTCCTAGAGGAAAGAAGTGTATCTTCATAAAGTACTCTAAACAATCAAAGGGATATATTTTCATAGGTGAAAACAAAGACGGAACGGTGATTGAAATAGAATCAAGGGATGCAATATTCATTGAGACTAAATTTCCTAATAGAGGAGATGTTGACTGCACTGTTTCTCTTTATGAGACATAGGGAGAAGACAGTGCAGAACAAATTGACAAACTAGAGTCTTCTAAGTGTGTCAATCTGAGTGGGAGCCAAGAAAGGTTAACACCGAGACCTGAACAAAAAAAGAAAGATAAACAAACAGCTCCCGTCAGAAGGAGTAATAGGAAAAGTATTCCTAAAAGACGCTTTCAAATAGAAGGAAAACCTTTCT